GAGGAAGGATGGGTTGTGAATAGATAACGATGATCATCCCCCCATCTTATCAGATGGCACATCAGCAGAGGATATCTCCCACAGAGATAAGGATCACCCCCCCTCCTATATTTTAAGGGATGGTGATAGAATACACATTTTTGCATTGTACCCCAGGACAATATGAAAACAGAAGAACATGACTAAGAGACTAAGTTAAATTCTACCAAAGTTTGCATATTAGTAAACATTAGACTCTAATGGGATCTGTACTTCCAGAGGAATATATTGCTTTGATAAATGTCTCATAGCTTTGTATCTCAGTATTAAGGGTAAGGTCTGTCTCTGGTGACCTTATCAGAACCTTTCTGACTGACTTTAGAAGTGCCAAAAGATTTCAAATTGGAGACTCATTTTTGAAAAATATACCACTGTGGCAATGGACTCTTCTCTGCAGGAGATAAAGTAACAAGAATCATGATGAAAAACTTCCACTAGGGGAAAAAAATATTTGGGCTTTTTTCACAAATTTTCCATAGCTTGATGCATGTAAAAATACTCCTGTGCCTGCCTCTGAAAATATGCTAGGCATTGTTATGCTCCCACTGAATTCAGACAAAATCCACTTACCATTACTGTTGCAGAGAAAGTTGAATGTAACAAAAAACGGGACCAGAGAGCAGCCTTTTTTTTAGTTAAATGACTGTGTCAGTTGCATGGATAGACTAGTTACACGAATGTTTGTTGTTAAACAGCTAATAAAAACAAGAAAGTGTGAATATCTTCCTGAGTTAGCACAGGACAGTGGATATCTGGCTGAACCCAACATAGTACCAAAGCCGAGGAATTGATAAAGAGAAGTTTGAAGAGAGAAAGGCTTGAGCTGGCTTTAGTCCACATTCCTTCCCAGCATTGTGACAGTGAGCATATCAAACAAGACTAGTAAAACAAGAATCATGTTTGTATTGTGATTCATGTATATAAGTCAATTGTTATGTTCTGCCAAGTGTAACTTGTACTTGTGTAGTGATTTCTGTGCACTATGGTATCACTTACGGAATCAAAATCCTACATAAGGTAAAATATCCTTATACATAAACCTGATATATTAAACTCTTCATGTATGGAATAGCTAAAGAACTTGGTCATGGAGTATTGTACTCTTATAAAAATGCATCACAATTCCAGACTCACGCTTTTTCTATCTATGGCCTGATCTCAAATCCACTGAAACAAAGAGCTCCTTTCATTAATTACTTTCTTTTTAAATGTCAGTCCACACCTTTCAACAGTCTGTTTCTCTAAAAAAACAAGTATTTTCCAACATTGCAATTGTTATACTCTCACCTCTTGTTTGCTTTTTAAAAAAGTGTGTAGTAATCCAGCAAGAGTCATGCAATGCCTATAAAATACTTTTAAAAGTTTTTGTCCCGAAATACTGCGTTCTAAGAACTTAAAAATCTTCACAGGTTTTTAACAACTCTGTGGAGAAGATCCAGGATAGCCACACACAAACAAAAAAATGACCCTAAGTATATTAACCTGATGGTGATGTACTACAAACATGTACTGTGAAATCCTGTCTGCTCATGTACCACTTCTGAGAAACATACATAGAAAAAAATGTATACTTGTTAAATAAACAGTTTTTTCTAATTATGGCTATTACAAAATCAGTCTTGACAAATGTATTGGTTTTAAAAGTAGAGTATAAATTTGAAAAAGCTGTATATAAAAAACTAGCAGCATAAATGTATAAAACATCATCTTCATGTAACTTTTATTCATTGACAGATATCAAGAAAGCAATGGTGGCTTTCACACACTTGTACATCTAGTGAAATAATTTCACTTTAAGTGTTTTATGATATGACCTCCTGGACAACTAATCCATTGATAATCTCGCTGTATTTTCGTGGGCTAGAGGTATCAGAAACACCCTCACTGTTCCTCTAGTTCTTCTCTGAAATTACAGGATATTTCTGTATAACAAATGAAGAAATCTGTGCCTGTAATCACAGTATTGCTTTAACAAAACATTACAGTGATACATGGTGTAAATTAATCTCTGTGTCTCAGCCCCCAAGAACATGCAGGGTTACACAGTTAAACAAGTAGCACACCAAAAGCTGTGACTGACAGCAGCTTCCATATGAATAACTATTTCTGAACAAACATTTTCAGCCAGTGGCCTGGTCACTTTAAGATTCCCCACAGGCCTCCTGACAGCCCTCACTGAGTGCAGGGGAAATCAGGTCATCCTCAGTTTGTGTCAGTAAGACTGCTCAAAGTAGTAGCAGGCATGCAGAGCATGTGCTCTTGTGTGATTACTGGCACAGCATTGTGGCTGTCTCATGCCTGCAGCCTTCAACCCACATTGTTTAATTTTGCTAGGAGCAAGTTAAGGAAAACAGACAGATAAAGAGCTACCATCTTGCCGAAAAGGGCACAATAATACTCCAAAACAGCTGCAATTAAATAGCATCAGGAAAGGTTTTCTGATCTTGAAATCTTTTGAAACGTTAGTCCTCAGTATAACAGTTCATAGTACTTCAGCTAGGCTCCTACTGGAGTCTGCCTCTAAAACTTATATACGATGAAGAGATATCACTGCTCCATGGACAGCCACTTTGCAGGGAGATTCCCTTGGTAGAGAAATTCATAGGTTTAACTTTCACATCACCAAAGACAGAATAAGTGACATTGGTTCACTCTGTCATTCCCTTGACATTGGCTAAACTTGCAAAAAAAGAAAAAAGAAAAAAACCACAACCAACTTAAAAAGCTAAACACAACTATTTGAACAATAAAAAAACCCTTCATTTCTTGTCTCAAGTTTTTGTGGTGGCGCATTCTCCTCCCCACATTCTTCCTTGAAACCACTGTACCTCAGGAATCCCCACTGGGCCTTGGCCTTTGTGTGATGAATTAGGTGGTCAAGCTTCCCTTGACCATATGGGAACTCTTGTGTGGTGAAGCTGGGAACATCCCTGAGATGAAGGACAAGAGCACAGTCAGTCTCCCACTTACAGCCTTGGGACTTTCCCTGAACCATAACCCAAGGGGAATAATACCATTATGGCTGGAATTTTGAAAACAATTTGAAATTGTATTGGAAGCAACTTGGAATTGTTTTGGAAACTCCAGTGATTACTGATCTGAGGACAGAAATTTTAGGTTACATCTTGTTACCCTATAAATAGGGGTCCTAAGTGAGGCCTTTTGAGCTTCCCAGGACTTCAGTGGGATGCACCAGAATCTCCCTTTGAGTGAGATGGCTCTCAGAGCTTGCAAACTTTCATGTTTGTGACAAAGTTGGTAACAAGGTATAGGCTGATCAAGTATCACTCCTTGAGCCTCAACCCCCATCCGCTGAGAAAAGTCAAGGCACTCACCACAGGCATTTGACTGAAATCACAGGGAATTTTTCACAGTACTTCTGTACACGCTTCATTGTGCATGTGTGAGAATTGATTTAAATACCCTATAACAAGTATAGCATACTGACATCTCAGAACTATAATTAACTGCCTGCTGCAATTTTAGTCAATTTCATTGAATTACTTTATAAATGCAGAATTAATCAATTAAGTACTACTTAAATCCTTTGAACATGAAATGTTGATCAGGTTTAAGCCTAAGTTTGTCAGTGGGGTCCACTCTGAACCTTGTGACTCTATGGGAAGGTCTTCCTTATCCTTTGCACCCTTATCACTTGCATCCCTGCTCTCCATGCAAATCATTCTAGCGATTTTAAGCCAATATTCTTTTGTATGCTTCGTTTATATAGAAAATAACAGAGCAAACATTGCCACTGAACTTTGTTGCATTTTCACACATTTACATTACTTTTGTCAATACCTGTGACAGTAATTCTTTAAGCTACCAAAACCACTCAATTGTGATAAATTGGCATAGTCAGCAGAATACTAAATCAGGATTTTCAACAGTCTTCCACAAAAAAACATGATCTTGAGAGGAAAAATTAATTCCAAGCAAGCTCAGGGTACTCAGACAGGATGCATTCAGCAGATTGCAGCCCA